GGTCCGTGTATTAGGTAGCATGGTCCGTGTATTAGGTAGCAGGGTCCGTGTATTAGGTAGCATGGTCCGTGTATTAGGTAGCAGGGTCCGTGTATTAGGTAGCATGGTCCGTGTATTAGGTAGCATGGTCCGTGTGTTAAGTAGCATGGTTGTAGCCCCTTCCATCTGGGGCTACCTGTTTCCCTTCCCTTGGAGTTTCCTGGGACCCAGAAGGGAGCCAGAGGACAGGGTGCAGAGCCCAGACTATGTTGCCACATGGTAACGAGCAAGGAGGCAGAAGGCAGGCCAGAGGACACTATGCCCATTTTTAATGGGGAAACTCAGGCCTAAAGAAATGTAATGAGGGGAGACACGACACCAGGGCTCTGGGCATGTCATTCCCCAGGCCACTGGCCTCCCTGGGGATCAAATGCCAATCCTCTTCCCCAGCCAGGCTTGCAGCTGCCTTCAGACATCAGCATCGAGGAACTTGAGTTCAGTTAAGCCCAGAAGTGAGGAAGTCCTGGATACTCCTGTACTCAAGGAGTAGGAAAGGAGCCCATCTAGGGGAAGCTCTCTGTCCCCTGGAAACCCAGAAAAGCATCTGGCATCCCCTGGGAGGAATGAACAATCCGCAGCCTGTCATCTGGCAGCCCTGTGGCAGCAGGGTTCACAGAATGGGCAGGTTTTAAACAAGCATGGGAAAGACTCCCAGAGAGGGTCCCATCAGAGGGGGCTAGAGTAGGGCCATCTGAGCAGCCAGGGATATAGGGAAGGGCAGTGGATTTAATTGAGGGGTGGGGATTGGGCAAGATGGCAAGGCCAGCACAGTCTATTTTGGGGGGCTTTGGGAAGCTGCTAGTGACAGCAGGCTGGGTGTCCACAAGACCCCTCCATCCTGTGTGTGGAGCTGTTGAGGATACTAGGATGGGCAAGTCTCCTTTCCTGCCCTTAGAGAAACCTCGGTCTGAGGCCAGATGAACCCTTGGCAGAGGGCATGGGGAGGCTGAGGAGGAAGGCCTGCTGTCTGGGACCAGGGATCAGAGTGAGTGGGTGCAGGGACTTCCAACTGCCTTTAGAACCGTAGCTCCCCCCTGGGCCTGCATCTGAGCTGAGTGAGCTGCCCTTGGGACCTCAGCCCCTAGGTGATGAGGAGGAAGGGACAGTCTGGAGGCAAGGGGCTTTTGGCACAAGGGCTATCAGCAGGCACCACAGCAGAGGTCCCTGAAGTCCCACCTGGGCAGTATGGAGCAGGCTTCACTGGCTCCCACAGGCCCGGCTGGCAGGCTGTGCTCTGCCCAGCCCTGCCTCATGCAGCCCCTCTGCCCCTGGAGGGGGCTGCAGTGAGACCCAGATTCAACAGAGTGAGGGTCCTCTGCATGCTGGGCCTTGTGCAGAGGGTCTGGAATCCTTCATCTTCTTGACTCCACAGAAGCTCTAGGGGCCCTGGGCTCCAGACTCAGTGTGAGGGAGGGGACTGGGGCCGTCACAGGTCGGGAGGGGTCTGGAAGCTGCCCCTTCCCTAGACTAAGAATGGGCAACTCTCCATGAGGAGGACTCCTGGGGAGGGGGCTGGGGGACTGAGGGACAGACACGAGGGAGACTTGCTGAACGTCCACCACTGTACTGAGTGCCAGGCCCTGTCCTGAGGATCTTCCTTGTACTCCTCCACCTTATCTGATAGCAGCAGGGAAAGCCATGCTTATCATTAGCATTTGATAGAGGAAATAGAGCTCAGAGAGGTTTGGTGATCTTCTTAGTCACACAGCTAGGAAAAGACAGAACTCTTAACCACCTGCCTCTTTGGGACCTAGACAACATGGTGGACAGTCTGGCCCCTCCAGGCCTGGCCACTCTGCCTCCCGCCCTTCTGGCTGTTGAGATGTCAGCTCTCCGAGGGGCTCTGGAGTCTTGCAAGTAGGAATCAGGGCCACCGCAGAGCCCTCAGGGGCTCCCTGCTCTCCTTGAGTTCCCTGAAGCTTGAGGCTCCGAGTGGCCCAGATGGCTGTACTCCCAGGGGGCAACCCCACCAAGTGGCCACAGAACTGCTGGAATCTGATGGCCACACAAAAGCAGCCTTGTCCTGGGCCCAGGAGACACATTTCTTGATAGCCCTTTCTAGACTGAACATGAACCCCAGCCGGAGAAGGGCAGCACTGAAACCACAGACAGGGAGAGAGCAGGTGCCGGATGGCACAGCTGGAGGTGCTGCCAGGGCTGGTCCCTCCTTCCCCCACCCCACTTTCTCCAGGAACCCCCCACACCTGCTGGGAGGCTTTTCACCAAAGACTGGGAAGCTGGATGCTCAGCCCAGTTTGGTCTCCAGCAAAGGATTTGCTTGCTCCCACTCTTATCAAATGTTCCAAGGACGTGGTGTTTTAGGCTGGAGCTGTGAGCTAAGGAGCCAAAAAGAGGCTGCATACTACCCTTGACCTTAGGGCACTCATGGCCTGAGGCTGGGGAGCAGGAAAGAGCCCAAAGAACAGTGGGAGGCAGGGAACATGCTGTCACTGCAGCTCTGGCAGGGCTAGGGTAAAGTAGAAAAACCTCCCAAGAGTGAGAAAAAATGAGTACGATGAGTTCTTATCTACAAAATGGGAACAGGTGGTGATCTCGGCCCTGCCAGCCAAAACAAGGCTGCCTCCAGGGTCCCTGGAGAAATCTTTTCCACCCAGGTAAAGGCACTCACCCACCCCTGCCTGGACATTCATTGTTCAGATTCTGCTTGGGGATCTCTGCCCACTGTCCACTTTTGGGGTCCTGCTATAGGAGGAAAGTCAGCCCTGGGACTCTGGGGTAGGGCACCCATGACTTTCCCAGACCTGACTTCTCTACAGCAGGAGGAATCCAGGTCCAATCTCTTGAGCATCTCAGCTCCCTCACCTCAATGGTTCAGGCCTGGACAGGAAAAATCCTTGAGGCAGGACCAAAAATCTAAAACAGGGACCATGGAGGGCGTTATAGAGACAGTCTTGTCCATCCCATTGTAAATCAGATGGGGAAACTGAGGCCCAGAGGGGTCTTCCCAGGATCAATCAGCTGTAGTGGTCAGAGCTCAGAGCTCCTGAATATCCAGCGGGAAGGCTAGAGAGTGGCTGGCAGTGCAAGCGCCCTCTCCCCTCAGGCTCTTTTCCCTCAGGGACAATTTTTGGGTGAAGGAGAGTGAGTCCCCTGACTCTGCCACATGGTGGGCTGCCCAGAACCAAGCAAGAAGGAGGGATGTGAGTGGCCTGGGTATGTTTGGCACCTCTCAGCTGGCCTCTCTGTGGATAGTCCCCTATGGGTAGGGGACACTTAAGAAAAAGGTTGAGTCCCAGTCCTTAGAGAAGACCCCATGCCCATTTCAAGGTTCAGCAGAGGCCCAGCCCTCAGGGCAGCCCAGGTCACCAGCCTGCCTGCTCTGCAGTTACATGCTGCACCTCGTTGCCAAGGTGCTAATAGAAGGTTCCGTCCTAGGCCTTGTTTTTGTCTCTCATCCTGTCCTGAGGCAAGTGTGGCCTCTCCCTCTTCTGTGCCTGGCTCAGGCTTGGCCCTCAGCACTGGTCCTGTGTGGAACAGGGGACCTTCGCAGAACCACTCCCTGATTGAACTTTGGAGGAGGGGCTGCAGGTTGAGTGCCCTGAGGGAGTGTCTTGGGCAGAGTCCCGGGCCTGAGGACCACCTTTTCCTCAGGGCCAGCGCAGCTCTCCATCTGCAACAATGGCTTCTTTCCCAGACTGCAGAAAACACCCCCATCTTCCCACCCTCTGCCCTCATGGTTTCCTCCTTTCCAGCTAATTGAGTGACTTCCTCTGCTATTCAGATGTCTTTATTCCAGACCCTTGAGGACACAGCCCCTGCCTGCTCGGCCACCCCTGGCATAATGGGCGGATTGATAAGACCAGGCCAGGGTCAGGCCAAGAGGAGTGGCAACAGAGAGGCGGGCAGAGGGACTGGGAAGCAGCAGAAAGAGCAAGCCGGGCCCTGGGAAAGCCCACCCCAGACCCCCATGCTCAGCTGACTTGGCTCCGGGCAGCTGTGTGCTGGGGCTGCCACTGGCTGGACTCCACACACAGTAGATCCAGCCTGGTTGCCTTTCAGAGCCAGCTCAGGCCAGGATCTGGGTGCCCTGATGGGGATGGGAACCA